CCCACCCCACCCCAAGGGGCCCCCTGCCCAAGGGAGGCCAGGCCCCCCTCAGGCCCCTCCCACAGCGAGGTGCCCGCTCAGGCTGGGGCAGAGGCCAGCAGCAAAGCCGCCTGGGAGAAGTCACTGTGCATGGATGCAGGGGGAGGGGATGTCACCCCCCGAAGCGAGCAAGCCATCTGGAAGGTCAGCCATTGGCCGCTCGAGGCAAAGGGCGGGGCCAGCTGGGGGACATGGAAGGGCCAGTAGCCAGGGGCTGCCCAGAGCTTCCTTCAGCTGCTCGGCGGCCTCTGCCACTTACTGTCCGGTCTTCCAGGTACATGGTTTTCGATAAGAAGTCGATTCCGATTGTAGCCTGTAGGAGCAGGAGACAGGATGTGAGAGAACATAAGAACAGCCATATTACATCAGAGCAATGGGCCAGCGCCCAGGGCCCTGCCTGCCGACCGTGGCCAAGGCCAGGTGCCCCAGAGGGAGTGAACAGAACCGGGGATCATCACGTGATTCCCTCCCCTGTTGCCCATTCCCAGCTCCTGACAACAGAGGGATTGTAGCCTGTAGGAGCAGGAGACAGGATGTGAGAGAACATAAGAACAGCCATATTACATCAGAGCAATGGGCCAGCGCCCAGGGCCCTGCCTGCCGACCGTGGCCAAGGCCAGGTGCCCCAGAGGGAGTGAACAGAACCGGGGATCATCACGTGATTCCCTCCCCTGTTGCCCATTCCCAGCTCCTGACAACAGAGGCAAGGGACACCCTCCCTGCCCATCCTGCCTAATTCTTTTTTCAACCCTGTTATAGTCTTGCCTTTACAACATCCACTGACAATGAGCTCCATAGGTTGCCAGTGCATAAAATACACTTCCTTTTGTTTGTTTCTAACCGGCACCATTTCATCTGGTGACCCCTAGCTGAGGGCCGGATTAGGAAGTCCTTGGCACACACGGTATATTTGTGAGATGTTGCCGGCTGCGGGCGCTTTGCTAATCAGCTGGGTGACAGCTGAATCTCTCCTGGGTGGCCACCCAAGCGCTCAGCTTCCAGGGAACGCTGGACCCAGGGCATTGGAACAGTCTCTGGGGGGGATTCCTGCCTCTCCAAAGGGTTCAGGCTAAGCTAGCATGTGCCAGGGCTGCCCTCTCCTCTCCCAGCCCCTGGCTGAGCGCGTGCACCTGGACTCTTTCTTTAGGGAGGGTCTGCGCGCCGAAGAGAACAAACCCTTCTAGGGTACAGATCCAACGGGCCTCCCTCTGCGCTGTCCCCCACGCTGCTCCCCCTGGAATAGAACGGAGCCCCCCCGAGGTCCCCTTTGCCCAGGGCTTCATGTCAAAGTCCGGCCTAGTCTGGTCTGCAGTAAGCGCTCGGCAGTGAGCTGTCCATGGTACTGCCCTGGCCTGGCCTGTCACGCCGGCTGCCCGCCTGCTGCTGCAAAGGGGAACTGCCTGGCTCTGTTCCCCAGCTTCCTTTTGTTTGGCCTTCCTGGCCCCTGATTGGCTGGTTCCCCTGCAGCTATTCTAGCCCACTTGGAGGACCTCTCTATAGCCCTTTCTGGGGCACAGCGTGGCAGGACCACAAGGCGTCCAGCAAGGGACCTAAGGGCTTGGTCTACCCCCTCACAGGGCATCAAGGTCTGACCCCTTGTGAGTGTTGGCCAATGTGGTACAGCCACTCCTCTCTCCATGCCAGCACCAAGGAGCCTTCACGAAGTGCACGCCCAGGGCAGCTCGCTCCCGCCCGTGGACGGAAAACGCCTCTGGCGGGGTCACGTGCAGACTGGGCAGCTCCGCTTGCACGTTCGCACGTGGGCTCCTCTGCAGCGGGACACGTGCTGTGATCAAACCATCCCCCTCAGCTGCACCATGTCGAGGGCTGGCCCCTACCTCTGGGGAGGAGCAGACCCAGGAAAGGGGGGGACGCCAGCGAAAGGGGGAGGCTAGGCTGAGTTACATTTGCTTCAGGGGCTACAGGGGGATGTGCTGACCCCGACTGACACGGCTCCCCAGTGAAGCTAATCCAGGGCGGCTCTAGTGTACAAGGCAGCGCTCGGGCATGAGGAATTTCGTCCTGATTCCCCTCACGCTGGTGATCCCCCAGCCGGAGCTGCCCCAGAGCTCAAAGCCAGCC